GAATTTCCAGCTGCTGGACTGTGACCCAGATGTTTCTGTCCAGCTTTGGGGTCCCTGTCCATTTAAGACTTTCAAAAAGCACTCGCTTTTCTTTGTCACAGGGGCAGCAGCTTCGGGACCCACTCACAGGTCCTACTGTCCTGCTTCCCTAGTTTCTAGCACCCCATGGATGCACTGTGTCTGCACCCTGGTGCGGATGTCTAGGGCTGGGTGTTTAGCAGTCCTGGACTCCCTCTCCCTCCCTGCTCCGACTCCTCTTCTCCCGCCCAGAGCTGGGGTGAGGAGCGTTTGGGTCATGCCGGGCTGCGGCTTGTTTCTTACCCATTTCATCATGTGCTGTGTTCTCGCAGGTGTCGATATAGTCTGGCTGTTATCCTGTGTCTTCTGGTCTCTCTTTTAGGATTAGTTTTATTTGTTGTATTTTCAAAAATATGTATGATTTTGGGAGGAGATTCCCACTGTCCTACTCACGCCACCATCTTGGCTCCTCCCCCCCAATGTTCAGTTCTGTTAGCAGTGTATGAGTGTGCTTGTTTCCTGCGTTATTTATTTATATTTGACAAGTAAAGTGTGAAATGTGATGCTTTGATATATGTATACATTGTGAACTGATTACCACAAACTAATTAACATATCCATCACCTCCCATAGTTACCATTTTTTTTGTGATGAGAACACTTGAGAGCTACATTATTATTGACCATAGTCACCATTCTGTACATTACGTTTCCAGAACTTATTCATCTTATAAGTGAAATTTTGTACTCTTTGATCAATGTCTCCCCTTTTCTCCTAGCCTCCCATCCTCTAGTAACCACCATTCTACTCTCTTTTACTATGAGTTTGACTTAAAATTTTCTTATTTTAGATTCCACATATGAATGAGATCATGTGATATTTGTCTTTCTGTGTTGGCTTATTCACTTAGCATAATGTTCTCCAGATTCATCCCTGTTGTTGAAAAGAGCAAGANAGATCACAGAGACAACACCTGAGAAGGAGACAGATCTAACCAGTATTCCTGAAAAAGAATTCAAAATAAAAATCATAAATATATATATATCATATTTTTATCCATTGATAAACATTTAAGTTGTTTCTTTATCTTGGCTACTGTGAATAACACTGCAGTGAACATGGGAGTGAAGATGTATGTTTGAGATAGTGATTTTATTTTTTTGGCTGTATACCCAGAAATGGGGTTTCAGCAGATATTTTTAAGTGCCTATTTTGGGCGAGGCACTGAATGATGTATTAGGAATATAATGATGAACAGTATAGGCACAGTTATTGCCTTTATTAACTTACCTTCTAGGATGACAGCAGATATAAAACAAGCAATTGCACAAATAATTCACTATTTCCAATCATGAAAAGTTTAACAAAGGAGGAGTATAGGGTGACGGGCAACCTAAGCAAGGCTGAAGACTTAATGAATTCTTGTCAGAGTATGTGACGTTTCGAATGAACTGCAAAATGAGCAGGATTAATTTAGAAGAAAGGGGGAAGAAGGATGAAAGTTACCTCAGGCAAATGGGAGAGCTTGTGTGAAGGCCCTGAGACAGGAAGGAGCATGGGGTATTAGAAGAAATAAAGGAGAGCCAATATGGCTGGAGCATAGAGAGAAACATGAGAGGTCTGAGATGATACCAGACAGTTAAGCAGGGCCTTTTAGACCATGTTCAAACTTTTGCACTGTATTTTAAGAGTAATAGGAAATCATGAAGGTTTTAGGTAGAGGAGAACAAGATCAGATTTGAATTTTTAAAAGCTTACTCTACCTGCAGTGTGGAGAGTGAACTGGAAAGAAGCAAGCATGAATGAGGGGTCGAGCTGGGACCACTTGTAGCAGTCTAGGCAAGAGATCATGGGTCAGTCCAGATTGAGAGGGGTTATTTTACAGTATATCTTTGTGGTCAACCTGGCAAGAGTTTCTGATGAGTTGGTTTAAGGGTGAAAGAGTGATAAATCAAGGATGATTCTTAAGATTTTGACTTAGGTAACTTATTAGAAGGTTGAACCACTTTTAAGGTAGGAACACTGGATGAAGAAGTTTGGGAGTAGGGTTGAAATGTTCAGGACCTTTGTATTGGACATGTTCAGGAGAGATGTTGAGTAGAGAGTTGGAAATATGGATCTGGAGCTCAAAGGAAAGGTCAGCGATAGAGCCTTTTAAATTACTGGTGTGTAAAAAGATGATACAAAGATCCTATAGTAAGTAAACTCCTGAATAGAAGGTAAATGTTCAGGGAAATGTGGTTTTCAACTCAGGAAACCATTGAGTACAAAGCTGGTGTCACAGTGATTTAATAGGGTAATCAATTCATAAGTATCCATCATTTCATTGTATTGTGACTTATACAAATAAAATATTTCAGTTCTCAAAAACAGATGTCCTTAGAATAGACAGCAATTAAGCTGCTTTGCTTTATGCTGTTTTACTGACATTATCAACTCCTATATTCATATTGAGTGACATTATCAACTCCTGTATTCATCTTTACCTTGCAAAATATCTGTAAAAATATATTCAGAAGGAAAGGTATTTTGATCATTTTCTTCATGCAGAGGCTTTAAAATTTTGTTAATGTAATAATATTTTCCATGCCAAGAGAGGGTGTGATGACTTTGGAGTAAGGACAGCTAAAATATAGGTTGGCATATATTTTCAAAGGTCATGCTTCATAGTCTCAGAACAAAAGGGATTTCAAATCTGTGAAAAACATATTGGAAAATTAGCATTACAGAGTAATTACTTGTTAATTTTCTTTTATACCCCACTAGATGTAAGCTTCATGAGGTCAGAGGTTTTTGTGTGTTTTGTTCATTGCTATAATCCCAGGATCTAAACCAATGCCTTGCACAGGCATTCAATGAATATTTGAGTAAATTAAGTGAATTAATGAGTTGTGTCTTCACAAGGTGATTATATGCTCGAAAATTTCTGAATCCGTAGAAACTTAGATTATACTCATATTAAAAAGTATATATGCATATATATGTATGTATGTATGTATATATATTACACACACATCCCCAAAGTAAGATAGAAATACTTTTATTTATCATGTTTTTAACTACTTGTCTATGGCTTTTTACTGTTAGAAGAGATTTTGGAAAGTTTTCTGTGTTTACCCTGGGAAATCTATTAATTTCCATTCTCACTGGTGGTATTAAGAGTCTCACAGATCTCACAGATCAAATCTATTTCACTTCTGATAATAAAACTCTCTTTTCATATCAAGATAAATGGCGAAGTGATTTACTGGACAATACACTTCTCAGAGGAATCTCTTTTATACAAAATATTCATCAGATAACCATATTACAAGAGAATTGTTCAGTAAAAGCTAATCCATAGAAGAAATTATCAAATGTGTACAATGTTGCTAATGGCTATGGCAAAATGCAGCAAAAAACAAAACCCAGGAAAATACAATGTAAAAGAATTTTCATGGAACTTTAGCCAAGTACTAATATTGAGCATCTTCAAAATATAGGACACATAACAGTGGCGGGCAGATAAAACTGTGAAGATCCAGGCCCTGTCTCCACAGTACTTACCATCTACTAGGGAAGTCAGAATAAGCTCAGTTCAGCAAATATTTAACTAAATTCCTGCTATGCACCGGGCTCATGCTAGATGCAGGGGGTAAAAGGATAAATAAGGCATAGTCCCTGTCATACAGGAGCTTACGATTTAGGGTGTTGTGTATCTGGGTGTGTATTTTTGTCTGTGTATATTTGTACTGTATTGTAGCAACATAACGCAAATTATTTAAGTGCAATATGGGAGGTTATGACAGAATGGTAATATTACCTAGGGAAATGTAACCCAATATAGAGAGATGAAAGGAGGAGGTGGTGGAAGTCGAGCTGAATCTTGAGGATAAATGTTACCTAGAGAATGGGAAGATCATTCCATGCAGAGGGAACAACAGTGTGACTGGGGAATCACAAATGGCTCAGAGGACAGGTGGTGCAAGGGATGGTCCAGTACTACACTCTCTGAATTATCCTGAAACTCTCACAAAATAACTACACAGTGAATTTCTGGAATCAAGAAAGTACCCTTCCTTATCTCATGCACCCTCCCCCTCTTTTTCCTTCAGTTTTGTCAGACCTCAAAGCATTTTAAATAACGGTGGTGGGCGTGGGAGGAGGTCAACCTCGAAAATCCTTATAAGAGTTTTGTTAGCTACTTGCCATAGGTAATCCAAACCCCCTCATCAAATACAACCGCTTTAATGTAAAGGCCATTTTTCATCGATCATTTCTGCGGTAGCTTATCAGGTGAATCTTGTATAGACTCATCTCATGCACACAGAAAACCAGACTAAGTCAACAAACGCTTATTAAGCAACTGCTATGCTTTCATATCTTTTTTCCCTCCTGTAACAAAAGGCTAATCTTGCAAATATACACTACCAGGGTAGCTGTTTGGACTAATTAGAACAAATAGAGACAAGGCGAGGGTTCCGTTCTGGCGAAACTAGGGCGACAGGTTTTTCGTGGGTTTTCATTGGGGAGATAGAGAAAAGAAAAGAATACGGGAGATGGTTCGAAAGTAGTGGTGTAAACAGTTATGCCTCGGGGGCCAAAACGAAAGTGCAGACCCGCTGGGGGAAAGTTTCCAGGCTGGAATGAAAATGTCCTTTGTTCACTGAGCAATCTCCTTTCAATTTCGTTCCTCCCTCCGTTGTCACCTAACAATTTCTGCTTCACCATTGTCAAGGGGTACTCAGGTCGTCCCACATTCATCCCAGCCATCAGAGTCAAATCTACATCTTTTTTATACACTAAACCTCTGGCCTAAATGTGGTACAGCAGACAGCCGGGGAAATGAGTCGAGCTTTCAACTTTCACGTAAACATTTCAAATACAAAGCACTAGCAGCCTACCTGGACCCGCCACCCAAGAACTACAATACCCAGAACGCACTGCTTGCCCTTCCGCCTTCTCCCGCTGCAGTATCTCGCTTGATCTCTAGCAGTAGTCACATGACATGTTTCCTGTCAAGATGGCGGATAATCTCCCTTCGGAGTTTGATGTGATCGTAATAGGGACGGGTATGTGTGGCTCTGGTACTCCTCGGACAAAGTGTAGGAAGTGTGTCTCGTTCTTACCTTTTCTGTCAGCAGCAAGGGTTGGCGAGAAATGCCGGGGGTCGAGCATGGGAGGAAGGTCGGAAAGGAAGTGAGGTAGTCGAGTCAGCGCGGGACTTCGCAGCTCCAGGGAGGGGCTTGGACCCGCGGTGCTTATCGCCATTTGAGTAGGGGTCGTCGATCTGGTCGATGCCGGTTGCTGAGGTTGGTTGCTGCGGATGATTCCTGTAATTTCCTTAGAGGGAGGTGGGTTTGCAGAGTCATGAGAATGGAGGGTCGCGATGTTATCAATGGAGACGCCTTTGGCATGACATTATGATTTCCTCCTTGCTGATTTCTGTCCCCCATCATTTTGTCTCGCCATTTCATAGGATTTTTTTCATAATTTATGTAATCTTAGGGTGCAGTGCAGTTAGGATACAGTGTAATCCTCAGTTTTTCGAGAAAGATGCTCGGTTGCCCGTGTTCGTATTAATTTACTAGGGCGAGTTAACGGGTTCTTTCCTATTGTGTTGAGAAACCTAGAGAATTGTATTTTGTTGGGGTAGCCATTATTCCTGCCTTATGGTGCTGTAAGAAAGCATTTTGCTTTCCACCACCCATTTACCTACTCGCAAGTAAATAAGCTGAGAAGCTTCTGGGAGTTCCAGTTCAGGTGTGTGACCATACCTTCCCCTTGTTTTCCCACCGATTATTCTCCATGTTTTGGGGAGAGCCAAAAACCCCTCTACAATTTCTAGTTGACAAATTTAAGGTACAACACGTGGAAGAAAACATTTGTCCCCAGTTGGCATTTTGTTTCTCTTAATAGTGTAAAGGGTGGATTTTAGATGGGGTGAAATATTTCTCCTGTCTACACAGTGTGGCAGGCTGAAGAAGCTCTGGTGGATAAGACCCTGTCCATTGTGTTAATGAATTCGGTTTGTTTTCTTTTCAAACAGTAGGAGGAGCCATATTTCTAGAGTGGGAGTAAAAATAATAGTTATCTGTTTTCTAATGCTTATTATTTGTTAATGGATGTGCTAAGCACCTTACAAGCTACATGTAATCCTTACAACAATCTTGTCAAAGCACGTGTTCGCTACACTTTTCAGAAGAGGAAAAGAAGGCTTGGAAAGGTTGCAGTTTGCTTAAGACCGCACAGCTGGTAAATTTCCAAAGGCCCATTCCATCCCAGAAGGCGAATCAGTGGTTCTGACCCTCAGAGTTAACCCATATTAATAGAAATAATTGGGAAAACTTGGTAGACCTTGCTTGGCCACTGACTAGCTGTGTGAATTAACTGGTTTGGGCTAGGCAATTATCTGAGCCTCAGTTTCCTTGTTTTTAAAATATAGACTGGGCAAACTAGATACCTTTTCAGGTGTTGTCTAACCAAAACTTCTCTTAACTCTTGTTGCACTTGGGTAATTGTTCTCAGAACAGCAAGGACATGTTTTTTCCCAGCCTGAAAACTGAACGGCTGCAGATAAGCTGGCTAGCAGTTGTGAAGAGATGTTGGATGAGAGCTGGAAGGAGCTGTAGACTATTCAGTCTTTACCATCTATCCTAAAACTGAGGACAACATACATTCTAGAAAAGTTGGTATACTATACTTGAGTTCTATATTACTGCCTTTCTTGTTACCTAGGAAGTTGGGGTGTTTTTAAATATTTAAAAAATCATTAAGAGCTTTTTCTTAATCTGGATTCAAATTTTAATTGATGAGTGCTAATTCTTCCTTTTTTCTTTTGAGAAGGCTGGAAGACAGTTTTATTTAGCAAGGAGAAAGTATACTTTGAGAGGGAGAGTGGACAGCTTGAGAGGTCAGGACCAGCCACTAATTCTTATTAAATGCTGTTAATTCATACAATAAATATTTTGCCTTCTCATTCAGTTCATAATATGGACTACATCCATCCTTTCAGAGACTGTTATGACAGAGGTAGGAAGATAATGGTGTGTGATCCAGAAAATTGCATCAGAAGGCATCTGGTGTATTTGGAAAAAAGTTCATTTTAGATTCATTCCAATGAGAATAATGTTATTTCTCAAAGTCTGGGAAGAACTTACTTGAAATTAATCTTGAAAGTTAAGTTATTCGTATCACTTAACAGTGAACATGTTCCGAATTTATTAAGCACATTGCTTAAATTTATGATACAGGCTTTGTTTCTAGGCATGTCAAAGTGGAAAAATTGGATAAAAGTCATTTCCCAAATAAGTTATTCCAATAATTCCAATCATTACTTGCTTGGAATTACTTTTAATGTGTTTGGAATATTTCTCTTCTGAAATAAGTTTGCTGAAAGTAGCCTTTAAAATGTGCTTGATTTACTAAATGTACTAGCTGAGTAAATCATAGGAAAAGCAGTGTTTCATAGATTGTTTTATTATCAAAAGCAGGTATTGTGCATGTATCAGAAACCTGAAGAAATAGGCTATGAGATGTCTTTCATCTTTTTCTTTCATCAGATTTAGTTCTAGATAAATGTCATCAAGAGACAATTACTTCATCAAGTGAAGTGGATAATATTTTAAATCCCCTTGACCTTAATGAATTTGTATTTTCATTTTTCATAACAAGGTTTTCCTTAAGATCATGTTTTGAAGAGATTATGGGAAAATAAAATCATGTATGTATTTTCTTAGTTTAAGCCCATTTCCTTCTGATTACAAAATTCAGGAAATATCTCTCAGTTACCCAAAGGCAGAGGAATAAGATAAAGTACTTCACTGTGGGAAATACAGAAGAAAATGGAATAAGGAAGGAGGGCCAACTAGAGTCTCAAGGGAGAGGACAAAAATGAATATATGATAAGTTTCTAGAAAGTGACCTTCAGTTTGGGTACACAATTGTCATTTTCAGGACATATTGCCATTTAAAAAGACATTTGAATGATAATTTTGTGGTTGTAGAAGAGTATCATTGGTTTTGGGTTAAAAATCATCCCAGTAACAAAACACCTCATTGGAGATGACTTCCTTGGTATCCTGTGTAATCTGCAATCCGCATCAGAGCTAACAACTCAACAGAAGACTGGGCAAGATGGAAGTTATGAGAACTATGTGATAATATTGTGCTTCTTATTCTTCACAGGGGAATCCGTCAGGCCCTCACTTAGAGCACATATTCATTCTTATTCTAGAAATAATTCTAGCATGCTCAGAGCATATCAGAAACATCCTACTAGAAGATAGAGGGGGTGTTAGTAACCTCTACAAAAGCTGTGGCTGGGAGTTGTCATTAGTCATGTCCTTATATATCCATATATATATGTATCCTGATCCATAAGGGAAAGGGAAGAGACAAACACCTAAAATGCAAACCTACATCAAACAGCACAGTGGTCCAGAGTGTAGTGACAAGCACTCATTTTTCAGGATATTCTACCCACATTTGCTGAGAACCCAGTCCCTGCCTTGTGAAGTTTACCGTATTGCCTATTCTAGGGAAGTGTTTGGGTTGCCTGATGGTCACATCCTCAGACTGTTCTTAAGCCAGTGTGGGCTTTTCATTGCATTATTGCTTTCAGAGGACCACATAGACATTCAGTCTGTATCCCTTTCCTTTCTAAAGTACATCATACATGTTATGTTTTGGAGTTTGTCCTCTAAGATGGGCTGTGTAGTGAGCTAGCTTAAAGTTTTTCCTCCAGAGGAAAGGCATAGATCCTTTTTGATTTTGCGAACGATTATGGGAAAAGAAATGAGATACCCAGAATAACAAACATGGGGGAAATTACAAGGAGTATTGCTCCTAAATTCTGACTACCTTGCTAGACAGTGCTTAGCACAGCACTGTAATAGATGTGGCAGCATGGCGTAATGGTAATCATTTGACCTTCATGACTTCAGGCAAATTGCATAACCTCGTGGGGCACCAGTTTGTTCATCTAAAGTAATAATTATGTCCCTGGGTCCTTGAGAAAAGGCTAAATTCTGTATAGTCCTTTTAAGAACTTAGTGTTTAATATACTTCAGAAATTTTTCTATCAAAATAGCTCATAAAACACTTTCTTGAAAATGATAAGCTGCTTTTATCAGGAAAGGTATGTAGGTGGCACAGCTCCAACCTTGATGTTGGTCTAGAATTGGAGTGTTAAGGGGACCTTGGCCAGAAGCTCATTGAATATAATGCTCATGATGGTGGTGGAGTAGTTTCACTTCTTTAAACACTGGAGGGTAGTAATGCTGCAGGAGGTGTTGTGAAAACTTATATTTCCCAAAGACCCATTATCCATTTATGCCAGACTCAATGCAAGTGATATCATTAATATATATTATATATGAATATATAATAACATATATATAATTATACATATATTTATATATATATACACACACCAATCATTTAATTCTCTCCCAGGATGCCTGTATGTGATTCTAACATCAGAGGCTATTCATACTTGCTTCACCTTACATCCAGACATCCATACACCTATGGCCTGGAGCAGAGGTTTTTTTCTTTCTTGAATTGCATTATGCCACCTATTTGTTGGTCATGAAATCAGTTCCCACATTAAAAAAAGAATACATTAGATGTAGTAAGGATGAGTATAGTTTTATGAAACACCATTTCATATGTGTGTAATCTCTGTGTAAAACACACATGCACACGTATGCATATTTGGGGGTAGGGGTGGCCGGAGCAAAAAGTTTTAATTTAAAGTCTGGAGAATATTGATTAACTGAATAAAATAGTAGAAATGAAAACGGTGCTTCAGAAGTCCTTTAGTTTTACAAATGCCTTTGCTGTCCATGTATTTTTATTCACTTTGACATGTGTATCTCATTTGAGAGGTGTGGTGCAGTGACTGACACTGTGGCTCTGAAATCAGACAGGGTTTGAGTCACCTCTGCCTCTTATGTCACCTCACACGTGTTCCTTAATGTCTGAGTTTCAATTTGCACATCTCTAAATGAGAATAAACCTCACAGGGCTGTGTTGAGGATTCAATGAAATGATTCCTGTAAAATGCTTA